AGAAGGGGAAGATATGGAGGTAGTGACAGATTATACTTTCCTGGGCTCCGTGATCACTGCAAATGGTGACAGCAGCCACGAAATTAAAAGACACCTGCTTCTTGGGAGGAAAACGATGACAAACCTAGACAGCATCTTAAACAGCAGAGACATCACCTTGCCAACTAAGCTCCGCATAGTCAAAGCTATGGTTTTTCGAGTAGTGATGTATGGAAGTGAGAACTGGACCATAAAGAAGACTGACCGCCGAAGAATTGATGCTTTTGAATTGTGGTGCTGGAGAAGACTCTTGAGAGTCTCCTGGTCTGCAAAGAGAATAAACTTATGCATTGCGAAGGAAATCAACCCTGAGTGCTCACAGGGAGAACAGATCGTGAAACTGAGGCTCCAATACTTTGTCCATCTCATGAGAAGACTCTTATGATGTTAGGAAAGTGTGAAGGCAAGAGGAGAAGGGGATGACAGAGGACGAGATGGTTGGACAGTGTCATCAAAGCTACTAAGATGTATTTGAGCCAACTCCAGGAGGCAATGGAAGATAGGAGGGCCTGGCATGCTCTGGTCCATGGGGTCACGAAGAGTCGGACACGACTTAATGACTAAACAACAACAAAAACTTGAGAAAGAATGATGTGTAAAGATGCATTTAGATTTATCTGTCCAAATTCATACAGACAGCCATCTCCAGAAGAACTTGCTCAGCTTCTCTTTATCTCTCACTCTGTTAGCAAAAAACCATTTCTAGTGCAGGAGAGGGATGACAAAAGGAGAATATATAAGGGATTCCCACTGAGATTCAGCCCTATAAATAATGTATTATGCAGACACTGTTCCGCTGATTCTATCTGATCCCCAATTCTGAATTCCTTGTTTTTGCTTCTATATATAGCTACGGACAGATTTTCAGTTGTAGAGTGATGAGGACAAAAGCAGAAATCTTTCCCCTTTAATAAGTTCTGTTAGAGATTGACCTCCCTCCCCCATGCACCTGTTTCATACTGTGACTGTCCACAAGGCTTTAAGAATCTAGGAGTACAAGCAGACAATAAGATAGTAAAAGAATGGAGTGACATAATAATTTCAATAAACATGCTGCCTTAAAAAACAAGATATTGTTCTTAAATTCTGTTTTCTGATTCTATGTGTCAGTTCACAGCATATGAGATTAATCTGACATATTCTTCTGTTTTCTTTTCTCTAGACCCCAATACTTTGACAGGAAGGCCTGGACCGGACCATGCGGTTATAGGAGGGATAGTGGCTGTAGTTGTCTTTGTCACGCTATGTTCTATAATTCTGCTTGGTCGATACCTGGCAAGACATAAAGGTAGGCTAGATTTAATCAAAGCCAAGTCACTTTTTTGTAGCAATATTTCTTAATGGTTAGGAATAGCAACACCTCCTTCTTTCCTTTATTTTCTTTCCTTTTCTTTTCTGGCCCCAGGAAAACTCAGCTCAGAAAGGGTATGAAGGTTTTCCTAGTGAGCTCCTGATGTTTGCCCAATGTTCCAGTTGAATTAACTGTGGCAAAATAAAGTCTACAAATTGCCCAAGGTCACTCAGAAAGTCAGGTATTCAGGGAATCAAGCAAGTGAAAAGGCAGTGCAGCAATATGGGCTATTCCACATAGCAAACTTACAGTCCCTCACCTCAAGTTAACAAGTTTATTCATCAACATTCTGTGCCAAGTACAGGAAAACGTGTTGGTGCATGTCAGATGTGCATGTCAACACTTTCAGAAAAATGACACTGTGAATAGCAGGCAGCTATAAATTAATGAGTAGGCTTCATAAACAAGCATTAATTTCTCCTAGCTGTAAAGTTCAGTACAGCTAGGAGTACCATCAGGTATATGCTGATGAGAATAATGACCTGTTTTAACAAAGCAAAAGCAAATCATGCTGCTTATATATCACTGCATAGTGCTTAAAGCACTCTCTGGGTGATTTACAAGTTAATTATGCAGGCTACGTGGTGGACGTGGTGGCGCTGTGGGTTAAACCGCAGAAGCCACTATGCTGCAGGGTCAGAAGACCAGCAGTCGTAAGATCGAATCCATGTGATGGAGTGAACTCCCGTCGCTTGTCCCAGCTCCTGCCAACCTAGCAGTTCGAAAGCATGTAAATGTGAATAGATAAATAGGTACCACCATGGTGGGAAGGTAATTGTGTTCCGCATCTAGTCATGCTGGCCACGTGACCACAGAATCTGTCTATGGACAAATGCTGGCTGTATAGCTTGGAGACGGGGATGAGCAATGTGCCCTAGAGTTGGACACGACTGGACTAAATGTCAAGGGGAACCTCTACCTTATGCAGGCTACACATTGCCCCTCCCTCAGCAAGCTGATTTTACCAACCTCAGAAAAATAGAAGGCTGTGTCAACCTTGAGCCAGCTACCTGGGATTGAACCCCAGGTCGTGAGCACAGTTTTGGCTGCAGTGCAGCAGTTTAACCACTGCACCATGAGGTTCCCTTATGTGGCTTGATAAATCTATAACGTTCTCATTTATTTTGAACTTGTGGTTCATTCCAGGTTTGAGCACCCACATAAACACTTTACACAAGTTCAGTTGTTAAAACAACTTTTATGTTTTGTTTTTTTTTCTATGTGGGAAAATGTGCTTTGGCAAGTAGAACACCGGTGTTATTTTTCTTTTACTCTCTCTGATAAATTGGAACCTTAAGTTTAAAGTTACAAATGTAAACAGTCTTGCAAAGAACTGTTACTATTTAAAATTGCTAGCCTGAAGTGGGAATCCCACCAGTTTAAGGAAAACACTTCTAATGCTCTCTTTGACTGCAAAGGTTGCAGATCCAAAGAGGGACTCATGTTTCATGCTTCATTACCCTTCAGCTTTGTTTTTTAACCTGAGTTCTTTGATAGCTCAAATTTATTTGCATGGCTAAGATAACAAGCATTCTCCTACAGAGAGATCAAGCTCCCCCCTCTCTCCAGTTTTAAAATGTAGGGTAGTCTTGTCACAAACAACAGAGCCTCTCCTCCTACTTAAATACACATCTAAGCCTCTCCTCATACATAAATACATGCCTAATTTTAAAGGTATGTGTTTGGGCTCTACTATAACATAGCTGTTTTATTTCCATTTGCATAAAAAAATGAAGAACAAAAAGCAGCTGTTACTACTGGATTTTCATCTGCTGCCTGAAAGAAGATTGCAAAGCATATTAATCGAAATCAAATATATATGTTTATTTATATCATTAGGGGGGGAAAAAAATCCCCCAGCCCCCATGATGTTCAGAACACTGTGCAAGATAAAGTCTTTGGACCAGGTTTTCAAAGGCTATTTGCTCATGGAAGCTAATAAATAATATTTCTTTTAATTTAACAAGTAAGCATCCATGAAAAAGGATATATGTCATTTGAGCAGTCTAGTGCAAAATGCAACACCTGTGTCCCAGTCTTCTTTTAAAGGACACCACACATATTCCAGGCTCTGAAATGTGCACACCTTTCCATTAAGTGAAAATTGGCTGTTTCAGACATCACTGACTATGAATATGTCACAGCATATCCAACCTTCCCTGTGCTAGCAAATAAATCCTCATGATGGAGTACCCACTACTGTGCTAAGGTAACAGAATGAAACAGGAGGTTGCAACAGCAGTGTAGGCATGTATTTTGGCACAAATATATATAAGACTGGTGTCACAGATCTGTAACAGTATTGTCAACATAGGTGATAATGACACTAGTTTGTAAATTTGGTATAGAGCGGTGGAGAGCACAACGCAGCTTATCTGAAGGATCTTTAGTCTCTTGAATTTGAGAAGTAACAAACTATTGGCATTTCCCACTGAAATCAGCAATGTTTAAAGTGTTAATTTTGAAATTGCAGAATACACCCTTTGATTCAGTTAGAGAGATAAATAAAATGTCTGCCTTCTGTATCACAAAAGAGTAAAAACAACTTGCAGGTATTTTGGGTCCCTTGCTGTTCGCTTGTGCTTACCATAATACATACAAGAGCTATGGATCAGAATGTCTACTTTCCCAAGCTGGACTATGTAAAGTGTAATAAAAACCTTCTTATTGTATTGTAATGCTGTATGATGTTTACTTCACTAAGACCAAATTAGTCCACCATTAGAGAACAGTATCTGAAAAGCAGTCAAGTTACCACAACCCTAATATATACATATGTATTTTTTAAAATCACATTGTTTTCCACAGGAACATATTTAACAAATGAAGCAAAAGGAGCTGAAGATGCACCCGATGCGGATACAGCCATTATCAATGCAGAAGGCAGCCAAGTAAATGCAGAAGAGAAGAAAGAATATTTCATATAGTTGCAGACTTAGGTTCTTAAGTATTATTCACCAGGCTGACTGCTGGAGAAAACTGGCTCCCGTCTTTCTGAATTAATTTCTCCCATCCTTCGGCTACCTTTATTAATGTACACTGTTGCTTTCAATAGCCAGTTTATACCAACAATCAGCCATGGACTGCATTTTTTTTCTTTAATTATGGTACCATTCATAATGCAGGACATTTCTTATTGCCTAATCATCATATCCATTGATCTCTTAACATACAGTGCTTGAATATACAGCCTTAACTATTTTAATCATCATCGTATTCTGTTTTTCTACATTTAAAAAAACCCAATTGCTATACAACTTTTTTTCTCTTTTATCACATGGTCCTTACCGATATTGCACCTGACCATTCTGATAGTTAATGTTCTTAGGTGAGGATCCAAATGTACTTACATAAAACATTACAAGTAAGATTAGAGGTTTACAAAGAATGTTTTATATATGTCTATAATTCAAAAGCAGCCTAGTTTTGAAACATTATGCCCTAGGAAACACAAATGGAAGGCAGTCTCATTTAATTTCTTATGTGTCTGCAAATGACAGCAAAAGGGTATGAAGAGAACATTTATTTTAACAGCACATTGGTACTAGAACAATGTCTGGGTGGTAACCACATCATGCAGTCTGTCCATACAAAATCCAAAAAAGATGGATTATGTAGCTCCATTTTGAAATTGTTTGTCCAGCTCTTTTTACTGCTTTTAGGATCATAAAGACTTCCATATCTATTTCTGTAACTTGTTTTTCTTTTAATTTATTTGCTTCACATGGGCTCACCTGCCTACTCAATTTGGACATGTTCATGGGGCACAAATGCAAGGCATTCTAGTATCTGTATATAGTGCATATAATAAATCCAATTAAACATTATTTGATACATATTTAACTTTTGGGGCTGTAGGTAAGTCAGTCACAAGTAAGCATTTTCTAATGTCCATTATATCCCTTTAGATATGACTTAAATTAATATTCTGAGTAGATGACATGTATTAGTACTTTTTGTCTGTATGTCCTAGCACTGTTCAACAGCAAACTTTTCTAGTTCCAGTTACTTTTTCTTTGTTATACAATGGAAGCACAATGTTCTATGGAAAGGTAGTTTAAAGCTAACAACCAGTGCACAGCCTCAGGTTTAAATTACAACCACATTAATGATTAATGATTAAGTTGCAAAAATTTCAGTATATAATTTGGCAGTTCCAGAACTGCTTTATCAATGTTGGATTTGCCAAAACACAAACAATGAAGTGTTAAAAAAAACCAACCTCTATGTTTTGTGTATATGGTAAATGAACTAATTCTTTATATTAAATTCCTGTCTATGCATTTTGTGAGGTACAAACTTATGTCACAGTGAATGATAGAGAATACCTGCCATGCTTTTAGCTCCACAGTAAAGACTTCTCTTTGAGATAATTCTCAACATGTGGGGCAAAATGACAGCTGAGAAAAAAAAAGAATATCAAGATTTGAAATCTACCATAATATAAATGGATTGTCTCAATTCTTCTTCAAGAAAAAAGGCATCAAAGCATCAACAGAGAAGCTCTTTCTTACTGGTCCCATGTCAGAAAATTGAAATCAGTAGAGACTCTTGTTCATCTCCTAAGTGCTGCACCTTGAAAGAAAGAAAGAAAGAAAGAAAGAAAGAAAGAAAGAAAGAAAGAAAGAAAGAAAGAAAGAAAGAAAGAAAGAAAGAAAGAAAGAAAGAAAGGAATATTTCTATATGGATGCTATTACTAGTGAAGTCTAAAAGCATAATGGCCTATTGTAAAGGATTATCTCCTGGGATTTATTTTTTGCGCAAGTGGGAGGAGGGTGGGTAGCATTTGAATATGACATCGTGTCACAGTAAATGGAAATCAAAGGTATTGTGTCAGATTATTTATCAGAAAAGTATACACCTTTTAAAGACAATAGTACTTTTTAAATTGCTTTTGTTGGAAAAAAAATTACCTTGTTAATTTCTATGAGAAAAAAGAAAGAAAGACCATCAATCAAGCAGCACTTTTTCAAAATATACAGAACATAAATAATATGATGTGGTTGAGTGTTAACATAATAAATCATATACAGTATGACATTTTAAAGAAATACGTCTGCATTGATGTGATTGCATGCTTGTTTTTACAGTTCACTCCAAATCATCTGTGGAAAAATTGCAATAATATGCTAACCTAGTATGGTAGTTTGAGAGAATTGGGTAGGAACTCCTAGACACATTGAAGCTAGTATAGGTTTACAACATAATCATGTCTTTCAAGGAATACATTTGGTTTAAGAAAAACCTGGCAAAAAAGATTACGCTTGTAATTACTACTAGGAAGAAAAGGTATTTGTCACAGCAGTTAGCTGTAACTACTATTTCAAAAACTGATTTGTGGAACTAATGCCCAGGCCAGCAGAGCACTTAACTCTGTTCTTAAATGCCTTGCTGCATTAGGATTATGTTTACTAAACTTTGTATGCCCATTAGTGCTGTATTTACACGTTTATACATTCTTTCTAAACACCATTTTGCTTCAATTATATAGAAATGCTGCTTACATTATCTACCTGCTCATCACTGTGAAGTGAGATTTTCATACATTTGGGCATCTTTCAATGTAACCATTTCAAAGTGTCTTGTCAGTGTAGCATAAGGAAGATGTTGGAACTCTGCAATAGTAGATAGGAAAATGGACTGTTAACTTTTTACTGTGTGCTCAGTTGCAGTCGGTTTTTTAAAAAGCTAGTATCTTCTGCCTTGTACCTTGAGATGTAATTTGCAACAGGTCAAAGGGCAGCAAGAAAAATACAGTGTTAATTGAAGAGATAATTGATAATTCTGGCCTACCATCACTTTCTATCATCTGCTTTCACCCAGTTAAATCAGAGGTTCTCAAACTTCTTCTCTGCGAGAAAAAGGGGACCTTTGAAATAGAAATTTGATCGTAATAAGTCTAGTAAATGATACATCCCATAAATGAAACAGAGTTTTACTGTAATATTCCTTAGAGTTTTTCTCCAGTGAGTTCCTTCTCATGTTTTCAGCCCCATCTTTAGCTTTAGCACAAGTGTAAGCAATATTATAGCAGGATGTTTCCAATACAGATATTGTTACTTTTTCTTAATATAATTAAATTACACAGTTTCAAACTGAAGTTTATGAAATATAAAATCCCTTATAAATGGAGCTACTGTTTATGGCAAGACTGTGTCAAGATGGTTTTTTTTTTCTTTGCCCCAGTACCCTTGTATCTTAATGGATATTGCACTAGTACCATAACACATCCCAGTTAATTCTGCTTCCTGTTTCAGTGCCTTTTTGACCACAGGAGATGAGGAGAAGCAGGGTTGGGCAGCTAGAGAAAGGGGGAAGCCTCAACTCTGTTGTCAAGATGACTTGATTCCAGTGAAAATGGCCAGGAGGTGGCTGGTTGTTGCGAAAGCTTCAAGGTGTGGCCTTTTGTTTTTGGCTAACCTCCACTTTGTTATGTAGCATAAGCTTTCAGTTATTCAAAGGATGGAAGACAAGCCTTTCCATGACATGGTGAATTAGGCCATAAGAAGGAGGCATCTTTGCAAGGTTTAAACGATTACACGCAAATGCACACATAAGAAAGATTTCCTTCATATCCAGTTGTGTTATCTGTCAAAGTTGTTATTTCATATATATCTGGTCCCAGTTTGAGAACCCCTGGTTTAGAATCCACTGGGCATAAGGCATCAAAGCCCAATGGAAATTATTTATTTACAGTATATTATATAAAGGTATAAATAATACAGGTGCCATGGAAGCCACTAAGGGAAATGTAAATCACGACTGTTCTTCTTGAGAGTTCATCAGTCCAAGGTATCACATTGTTGCCCATTTATTGTTTGATATTATTTATTTACTTTTGCTCTCCTTGCATTTTTTAGAGAAGATACAAAAGTATGAAGTGGCATCTCAAAATATGCATCATCTCTCCATTTTTATTGTCATTAACAGTTCTAAGAAATAGTTAAAGGAAACTGAAATTCCATCTGAAGGACAGAGCAGAATCTGGAATGCTTATAAGTTTTTCACTTTTATGGAAGGCAGATTATTCCTGCTATAAAGAACCAAGAAAAAAGTGATATTTCTAAGCAAACTAGTGCATTTAAACATTTTGAGTATGTCCATCATGACATAAGATATACAGTATACCTATTTAAAAATGGCTCAGTGAGAAGAAAGGAAGGGAACTTATATATTTTTGATTGTGAAATCACTGAAGTTACCATGTACACACACGTACACTAGGTATATTGATCATGACAGTGTGGTTACATGTGCTTCCATGTAACATTGCAGTTATAGTGTAATTTAGTGCCACTTATTATAAAGTGTTACCAAAAACTAACATAGAAGTCTTACCTTTACAACTTTGTTGAGTAAAGGTAATTCTGATTTTAAAAAACAAAACTATAAAATGAAACAAGTAAAATAGTTGCTACGGTTTTCTTTAAAACTTTCCTAGATTCCACCAGGGATCCTATCTTCTCATTCATTAGAACAAGAAACCTTGAACATACAAACACAAGGCAAAATAAAATCAGATGATCAAAAAAATTGGAAAACATGGTATTAAATAGAAATAATGCACGTAATGCTTTGGCTTAAGTGGCACAAAGTACACACTAAAAACTATGCAAAAATATAGGTGACTACAGTGTACTTACATGTAAGTATCTTGTACTATCTCTGTATGGATATTGGAAACCCATGTATTTATAATATGCATTTTGATTATTTTATAAGGAAGGAGATGAAACTTTGCAGTTACAAGGCTGAACTACAAAATACATACAGAGCAGTTATTCTGAAATATGTTCATCCCCCCACCACACACAACTTTCAAGTAATCTTTAATTTATTGTAAGCCATATTTTCCTTGAAACCTGACCACCACTCCATTTTGCCTCTCCTCTTATTTTGGTCCCATGGGCCTCCTTCTAAACACCTCTGGGGCAAAGTTTTCAATTGTGCTAATAGCTTTGCTGCCAGCACTCTGTCTGGGAACACTGCTCAGTAATCTATTTCTAGCCCAACAGTACAAGGTTGCTCTTTTTATCTTCCTTGAGGGAGCCTTGCATGCTAAGATGTGGAAAAGTGGTGCCATTTGCCCTGGTATTTTTAGTTTCAACAATGGAATGAGAGCCAGAGAGAACTGCATTCTTCTGACCCCTATTTCACTGAAGCATCTCACCTGGAAGTTCTGCTGTTTATTTCCCAATAATATCAGGTAATCTTACATTGTGAGTAGAAAATGCTTCCATCAAACCACAGAGGATGCCTTTAATGATAAAGTTAACTTTTTTCCAAACATGAAATTTTATATCATTGATCCTTTTCATCTTGTCATTTTTTTCTATCATGCTCTTCCAAAAGTAATGCATTGAAAGTAGTGAGATAACACAGAACAATCACAGACACAAGAAATATTGTTAAATTGAACACTGCAAAGCTTCCCAGCCTCTCCTGCTATAGCTTTCCTTCTCTGTCTGAAGCACTATCATTACTGTCTAAAGCATTCAATCCACTTTCAGTTGCACAATTTTAACTAGTTCCCATAATAAATCTGGGGCTTCCTTGGGCCTGTTTTTGTTGTCTGCATTTGCTCTCTGCCTGACTATCCTGGTTTTGGTTTGGGGTTTGCCTTTGGTTTTTCTCTATCCCCTTTACTGAGTCTCTTGAGTTGCTAGAACTCTGGGCATTACAGGCATCATGCTACAAGCCACCTTTACTCACCACCAATAATTACCATGCACAGTCATTTGAGATTTCGAAGAAGGATCTCAGTAGTTTATGTGCAAAGGAGCGACAGGTACTGTGGTTTCAGCAATCTGAATGACTCAGTGGCTGGGGCTGGGGAGTGGAAGAGGAAATAATTGCATAGCTCTAAGGACACATGCATCCACTTCCTAGCAGTTTAATGGTTAGTACGCTCCAGTAGCTTGCTAGTGAGAGAGGGGGAAAGGAGCTTCATAGAGCTAATCCCCTCCCCCATCAAGGGTAGTGCACTGTATCCTTCATTTTCTGTGCAAATGATGATCTCATATACATTTTTAAGGAAATGTCCATGATACAAAGAATATTTCAATACTTTAACATGATTTAAAGGAAATTTTAAGGGGAAGCCAACATCCAGGAGGTTATCTGTAAGTTGAGTCATGGCAACTGGACTTCTTTCTTGTTAGGTTGAAATATTTTGCTACTCATTCAGGTAGCTTCTTCAGTCTGAGGAGAGTTGGTAAGAGATCCCTGGTGTGAATAGGCTCCTTAGAAGGACAAAGGACTGGGGATGAGGGATAATCCCACTTCTGCAGTCCTTCTCCACCCATTGTCATGGGTCGTTAACACCAGTGGTGTTTCTGGTGTGTGTGGTCCTAGTCTTTCTGGGGACAAATGAAAGGATAGCATGAAAAATAGGAGACGGATTGTATCTAAGGCCTCCAGCCCTGTTGAGTGAGGGATTACATCCAAAACTAATAACTGAATGGAACATACTTTTAGTGCCAGTATTTTAAGGGATCATTTGTTTTTGCTACCCATCATTCCAACCCTTAGGGGCAGAGGCTGATCAATACAAAATGATAAAAGAAAGCAACTTGCAAGTATTAGATTATGGTAAACTTCCAAATGCTTCCTCTTTTCCTTTATTTAATTTAACGTTAGTGGGATCCTTCTTTTATATAAAGCTGCTGACCTAGCAAGAAACTGTCATATTGTCCCATTAGTAATTCAACATAAAGATTCTCACTGATAAAAATCCTTATGTATGTAATGGGCCTCTTCCACTGAGCCAGCTAAATCTGAAGCAGGTCTTGCATGTTTCAGGAACTCCAAATGACACAGACCACAACCCTGCAAAGAATGAATGCCAAATCCTGAGCTGAAGTGTGTCTTTGTCAGCTTTGATGATTACCTCTGTAGAGATAGCTTCTGATCAGCTGAAATATATGTAAGGTTTTATATTTTTACAGTTGTACATGTGCCACTTCTTTTAGCTGCAGTCATACTAGTGTGCCTATTTAAACCATCAATTTCAATGTCCTTTGCAGATCTTGATACCAACGCTGCTCTCAACCCTTCCTTATGACCAATTTTATCAAATTTACCTTCCACCAGGGAAAAAAATAATCAGTGATTGTGTGTTTGACCTCTTTGCCAACTTGGGTAGAGAGGGGAAAACAGAGGCTGAGTGCTCATTAAAAAGTACAATGTGCCCTAGAAAGCACATGATTTCCTACACACACAAATGCATAGTCCCATCCTCAATCCATCAGCATGCATGAACTAGCCCACTGATGTCTCATCTGCACAACTGGGGGTGGGAGGGAAAAGAGGCCCACATGCATAGAAAGGGTTTGGAGAAAAAAACTAGAACATCTATCATGGCCCATAGCTTTTCCTACTGATATTTGAAAAGACAGGAAGCAAAAGCACTACAGGTATAAAAGGATAACATACTATGTAATCCGTGATGTTGATCCATACAGCACTCCAGTTGCTTTGTGCACTTCATTTTCTTTACAAAGAGCACACATGCAAACTTCACCAGTGTCAGTGTAGATACTGGCACAGGCAGTCACACCTTCTTGAAACTATGAGCTTCTCTTGATCCAATATTCTGGCCCAAAAGGGAACTCCTGCTTACACATTTTTGAACACCAATTCACTATTCAAAATATGAACTCATGGATGTAAATATATAGAGCCCAGCAATTAAAACAAAAATGCAAAGAACCATAAAAACTGATATATCCCAGTGTGGAGTAATCCATGAGCAAGAACTAATTGCTACACTATGTTTTCCCACACTGAGTATGGACAAGGTGGTGCAGAACGAGGAAATTCTCTTACATCAGAGATGGTTTTGGTACAATCCAAAGAAAAGATCAAGAGGCTTCGCATGGTCTTTTCAGCATACAAAACAAACAAACAAAACAAAGATGCATTCCTGATACAGATTGTACATTAGACTAGCAAAGACCAACCTAACTGTATATCTGTATGGGCTCAGGACCAAGACAAAGTATTTCTTGTTCCTCAGTGCAACAATCATGCCTACCTCTGCTAATCATCAGTGCATTTTACATTAATGCTGCAGTGCATCTATGGAAAGATAGTTCTAGTTGGAAGCACCACTTGTAAAGAAAGCTCATTTATAACATTGAAATACTGATCCTGATAGAAAGCTGACATTCCAACATGTTTTCTATCAGTACCTAGTCGTTCTGGCAATAATATATACATATATTATAGTTTCCTTATATTGTGCACTTCCATACACATGCAGCCTTACCAAAGGTTTTCTTTGTTTTGGAATATGATATGTGAAAATCCAATGGATTCTCCATTTCTATTATGAAAGGCAGAAAGAAAGTAGCATCTATTTTTTAAAAAAACTTTATCTGCTATACTGACTTCCAGCCTTTCAAATTCAAAATACACTTTAGAATTTCACCAAAAATTAGGATGGGCTGAGACTCCTCTGATTGTTTCTTGCCTTCTTTATGCCACTTTCTACACAGAAGAAGGTTTTCTCAAACAAATAAGAGTGTATTCGGGGTGGGGGAATAATAAACTTGTTGAACTTTCCAGCAGCCTCACTGAAATAGTCCCACTGATATCAAAATCAATACGCCTGTTCCTAAAAAAATCTGTAGCCTTACACAGCCTTAGGGATGTACATGCAAAATTTACCAGCCCACAAAGTGTTTTCAGTGTATGTTTTCCAGGGTGGCTAGAACAATGGGACATAGGAAGGGATTTGCCAAGAATCATGACATTGTTGACATTTCAACCCTTAATTCTGTCCCTGAGGAATTCAGCATGTTGCACTGACAACAGAAGCACAATTTATTCTATTTCCTCCTCACCCGAATTTTAAGTGAACAAAATGCATATTGTAACATTAGGTACATGACACTTGCATGTTGCGATGCCTATATACTTACAGAGTATTCAATGTGTACTTGGTGGTGCTTAAGAAATGTCATGTGCAACTTTTTATAAACATTTTACAGGGTTCCCACTTGCACTTCATCCTTCAGAAAATTCTTGTCAGAGAAATGTCTGAATATTCCTTTTTTTAAAAAAGTAAAAATAAAATTTCAATTTTAGTTATCTGTTGGACATTAACAAAGTGTCTATTCATTTAATGGACCTGTTAAGGAATGAATTCAGCAGTAAGGGTAAGTTGAACACAGATTAACAGATATAAGGATTCTCCACCTCAACTAAAAGTTGTTTTCTGTGTCTTTCGTACTGTTTGTGATAAACTCCATTTGGTATACAAGTATTGGTGTAGAGAGAGAGATGTGTGTCTTACTGATTGTCTACTTCTTCCCTGACACTATATGGATGTTGCACATATCACAGCCCTGAACATGAATCTCTATGACATGTGCTGCTCATACAGAAGGGGAGGTCTGCATACTCCTGCTCCACTACATCCTCACATTCAACATGTGAAAGCAACAGAGGGGAAGCCTGCTCAATCCGGGAAGTGTCTCTCCAGGAGCCAAACTCTCCCCACCATCAAAGTTCTAGTTCACATGGAAAGGCTGTCTGATTAGAGTCACCTCACATTCTTCAGACAGTCACTTTTGCATGTTGAAAGCAGTGATGGATGAGACAGAGCTAACATGCTTCCTTCAGCATGTCTTGACTTAAGTGTTGAGGGGTTGGGTAAAAAGAATTTCCTTGAATTTGGTTACCCTATTAGTTAGCAGAGTATAAGGCAAAAACATAAAAACATGACGACATAATCCCAATCTCAACAAACACTTCCCTCTGTTTGCACACAAACCTAACACTTTGTGTGGTAAAGTCACACAAGAAGCATTTAAAGTAGAAAGGGCATCTTTACATACAGTAACCTTTGTAGTTACAGTCAGGGGAAAAAGGAGTCTCTGAGATGGAGGAGCTCATACATGCTTGCAGTTTGGAAGATGGTCAAGAAAAAGAAGAGAGGGCTACCAAAAAACAAACAAAAAGAGGAGATGAAGGTTTGACTCAAACGCCAGAGGTGGGAAAAGAACTTTACCAACTGTGCTAGTGACAAAGAACAATCCTATTAAGCTGCAAAACACTGTCTCACTGCAGTGTTAGTGCATTCAAGTCTGCTATTATCCCAACATTATGTATATAGAGAGAAGAATGTGCACTGTGAAAATTTTATTTCATTCATCTTTAGTTCTTCCCCCCACCTTTCATTGTCTGTGTTTGTGTGTATCTGTACTAGTTCTTTAATTTTAGGGGGGGGGGGAAGAGAGCCTCTTTTGGAGTTTCATTTGTGTTTCCCAATAAATGTTTCTAGCACTCCAAAAGTTGTAAAGAATTCTTCAAAACTACTCCAAAAAAGCAGAGGCAAGGCAACAGAGAATCAGTGCACTCCAAAAACAGGCAGCAGTACATGATAAACTTTTTTAAAAATCAGACAATGCAGGTCATATAGTATCACTAGAGATGGGGGTATTTGTATTCATAAAGAATATGACTAACCCCACACAGATGTAAGATGGGCTCAGCCCCCTGTTGCTGGATCATCCACTTACCCATCTGCTGCCAGTGCCAGCTCCGCTTTCCC